CGGGCCACCCTAAAGACCTTTTTTTCCAACCCTGGCAAGTTTAAAAAAGGGGGGCCTCAACCCCCCAAAATCCCCCACCCAGAAGGGCTGGCTGGGGAATTCTGGGAGTTGAAGTCCACCTGTCTTAAAGCTGCCCAGGTTGAGAAACACTGGTCTAGAGGATGCCCAGGTTGGAGCAAGTAAAAGAATAAAGGACCAGGACCAAGGAAAGGAGACATTGAAGAGAGGAGGACTGAAGTGAGGGAGCTCAGAAGGGGAATCCTCAGAAGGATGTGGAGAGAGAATGGCATGGTGCAGGGAAGATGTCTATGCTTGCTATGCTGCTCTTAAGATAGTTCGTGTGCCATCCTGGCTTATATAAATACTTGTTTGGAGGTACATGCTTGTTATTTGACAGATGAGCCCGGTGAATCTAATTAAGCCTACAGAAAACAAGAACACCACCCCTTTTTTTTTTTCCTCCGGTGCAGTCATTTTGCTCCAGGGAGCAAAGGCAGAAAAAAAAGAGAAAGATCAGAAAGGGCCTCTATTAACTCACGGGTTTGAGTTTTTGCCTCTTTCTCTCTGGTATCTTGTAGGCAAGCCTCCACCCAGGCAGATAGCAACAGCAACCTGTACCTCCAGTTCTATGCCTCACGTACAGCTTCTAGCAAATACACAATGCTAAAGCATGATTACAGGGTTACTGGTAGCCCAAGGATTTTGTAACTTCTTCCCTCAAGCTGTAGCACTACCTTCTAGAACAGTGTTTCTCAACCTTGGTGACTTTAAGATGGGTGGATCTCAATGCCCAGCTCCCCATGCTGGCTGGGGGAATTCCGGGAGTTGAAATCTACACATCTTAAAGTCGCTGAGGTTGAGAAACACTGTCCTAGAAATCCTTGCTAAGTTCCCATTACCCTTTTCCAGAAATTATCCTCCACTCTGAAAGAATGGTGGTCACTGCCAGACTTTCCTTTCTTAGCTCTTGAAAGCCAGTGAAATAAAGCCTCTTGGCCATGAAGTGTTTGCCCCCACACCCATGATAAAGGCCTTATACTTTGAATCTCAACCTTTCCATTTAAAAACAGACAGAGAGAACATAGCACTCTTTTGCATGACCTGTCCTAAGGGAAAAAAATAGATACAATCACCCTGAGTGGGAGCACTAACATCTCTATTCCAGGTGTGATTCTTCATAACATATTTGATTTCTTCCTCAAGTAGAAAAAGAAGCATTTAAATTTGCCTTGAAGGGGGTTTGCAAAACAAAGCAGTGAAAGAGGAAGGAAGCTTACCTGTTGTTGAAGAATTACTTACTGTTGAAGAATTTAAATGGGCAGCAGTTGTATGGGTGACATTTTCCTTTGTGTTCTCTGAAATAAAACAGATACACATCAATGTAATATTTGCAATGTTTCCCCCATACAGTAATTTTCAGATAGCTATCCAAGATCTTCATTTGTAAAAAAAAAAAGAAAGAAAGAAAAGGCAATAATACACCGTGATACAACTCTTACACAACATTAGCTGTAGTACACACCTTCCTTACGGAGACTTCCCTAGATCCAGTAGTATTAGACAACAATTGTCCTGTCTCCAATCTTCACTTTTTGTAGATGATTGCTACAAAGCATTCTAGACAAGTGGATTATTTGAACCCTTTTCAATGGGACAGAAACCATCCTGGTTATCTGGCTGATGATGAATGTCAGGGCCTAGATGGGGAGAGTCTACTCCTTCTGGTCCTATTAGACTTCTCAGCGGTTTTCTTTCTCTGCCTCCTTCAAAGTTGGGAACTGGGGGTGCTGGGCTTCAGTGATTTCAGTCCTTCCTTAGCATATAGTTCCAGTTGCCAGCTGGGAGCAAGAGGGTTCATCCTGGTGGCCTCTTACATGTGGTGTGCCACAGGAATCACTTCTCTCCTCCCTCCTTTTTAACATCTACATGAAGCTACTAGGAGAGACCATATGTAGGTTTAGAGTGCAGTATTGTCCATACCACAGTGATACCCACTGGGATGTGGATGAAGTCCTGTCCTAGTATTAGAGACTGTCAGGGTCTAGACAGGACTGACTGAAGTTGAATCAAAGCAGTGCAGAGCTGTTTGTTCACTAAGGATCCCTGTCATCTCTGGTGTTGTCTTCTGAATGGCTGGCCCTGCCCTTGAGGGAGCAGGTCTTGATTGTGAGGTCTTCTAGGACTCACTGCTACTACTAGATGAGCAGGTGAAAACCATGGCCAGGAGGGCCTTTGCTGGTGTACTAATTACAGACTTGCCTGGAGCAAGAGGAGGTTGCAGAAGTAACTCTCAACACTACTTGCCTGGACTACTACAATGTGCTCTGCATGGCCTTTCAAGATCAACTGGAAATTGAAGTTCATGCAAAATGCAGTGGCCCATGTGCTAACTGGCATGAAATGCCATGAATGTATTTCACCTATCAGGGCCTTTTTTGGTTACCAATAGGTTTTTGGGTGCAAATTAAAATGCTGGTTTTAATCTATAAAGTAGGACTGGCTCCTTCAGCTAGAATTGATCCATCTGATACAAATATAATGATAACAATTACTTGTAATTCCTCCCTACTCTGAAGTCAGGGGGTCAGAGGCCAAGAGGAGATGTTCTGTCATGGTCCCCATGTGGAACAACCTTCCACTGGAAATTAGTCTTGACTTAAGCCTGTTGAGCAAGTGAAGCAGTTAAAGTGGAAATTATTTATGGGGCTTTGTAAACTAGTTAAGATAATGTCATAACAAGGTTGTTCATTTCACATCCTTGGGTTTTTATTGATGTTATTATTGTATTCAATATGCAATAATAATGTACCTACTGTGCAGGTTTTACATTTTTATGCACTGCAGAGAGTGGCATGATTGCAGTGATAAAAGAATGTAATAAATAGATGTGAGAAGGATGCAAATTGGTCTGATTAACAATTCATATGAGAGAATTCACATATGAAAAAAAAGCACAGGTTGGCCTAAAATATTTTGCACCCTGCTGAATGCTACACATATGTTTGAAAGTTTTCAAAAACCTCAAGAGGCAAGAAAATAGCACAAAAGCCAATTGTTTCAGGCTGCGCACGCCTACACAGCAGAGTTTCAAATGGGGGTTTTTGCAAACAATCATAGCAACAGCAGGCAGCCTATCTCAATTAAGTTTAGTTAATTAATTAATCAATCAATTAAGTTTAAGCTATGTGACCGCTTACTGGCAACAGTTGTCTGATCTTGGGCAAGCTCAGTATATTTATTATCTTAAAATACATCCCTTCCTTTTTCCACATTTTCCTTTTCAGATTTGTTGTATCATTTAATCTACCACATGCCTGCAGAATTAATAAGATAATGATGATTGTACCTGCATACAGTCAGGTGTTAGCCTTGTCTCCCATTTTCTCTCCATGAGGACTGAGAACAGCTGTCTCAAAAATGACATGGGAACTGGGATGTACTGAGTCTTCTGCAGCATTGAATGATGAAATCTGTCCACTAGAATCCAGTGTCATAACATCTGGAGTTTGTGGTATCTTATAAACAAGGGTAGATTACATTTTTCACCACAAACTCCTTCCCATTAAGATTTCTATAATCTGTCTCATGTTATTAGTATGATGGTATGATGCACTGTTTTCGGCCCAACTTCCACCACCATCCATTAATTTCTCAAGAGTATCCTGAAGACTTATGTCAGAATATAAGGGGAAAATCCTCATTTTTCTATAGAAACTGTAAAGCCAGCCCCTCCCCCTCTCTTTTTTTTTTTTTTTAAACTTTTAGAGATTCCTGGGTAAAAGTGGAAGAGAAGCCATGGAGAAAGGGTGGAGGGAGATTTTTTGAATGCCATATATATTACTAAAGACACCTGAAAAGTGTCTTAGAAATTAAGTTTAAGCTTAAGCTTAATTTCTGCGTAGCCTGGAGCAGTGCACATTAATAGGCTGCTACGTTTCTGGAATAATGTTTCAGAATTAAGTTAAGATGTATGTGTATATGAGGCAAGATGGGAGAAACTGTCTTAATCTGCGTAGAATGAGGAACTTAAGAAGAACCTAATTAAAAAAACAACAACAAACATTGGAAAAAATGGATAAAAAGCTGTGGAAGAGCAATCGGCAGGCCAAGTCCAATCTAGCTAATGCCAAAGATATCACTGCAGAGTTGCATGAGTGCTTACTAGTGACAGTTGTGTGACTTTCCATCTTAGGCAAGCTTGGTATATTTGTTATATTAAAATACATCTCTTCTGTTTTCTACATTGTCCTTTTCAGGTTCGTTATATCATTTAATTCAGTGTTTCTCAACCTTGGCAACTTTAAGGTGTCTGGACTTCAACTCCCAGAATTCCCCTTGAAGTCCAGACACCTTAAAGTTGCCAAGGTTGAGAAATACTGATTTAATCTATCACATGCCTGATGTAGGTTGCAGAAATCTTCAGCTACAAAGAGCAGTGTAGTTCAAATGAGATTAATGGTTATTTTAATGTTAGTAGACAAGCCTCTTTCATCACAGTGAGTCTCTACATTTTTCCCATGGCTGATGAAGCACAAGTTCCTCTCACACATACATATTCTATAAAGCTGGAAGGCAGAATTGCTAGAGATGGTGAGAGCTTAGGCTGATTTTTTAAAATCCTTTTCAACAAAGACTTACATATCACAAACGCAATTTTGGAAATCTACCAAGAGAACTGTGGTCTGGATACAACAATCAGCTTGATGAACCTTAATTTACTGGGCAAAATACAAGTCTTGCGTCCAGCCTCTGTCCTGTATTTAAACCATGATTTCTGCTGTTATTTGAACTAGGAGCTGCTTGCAGATCAAGATATGATCCATTTCTGTCAGGTCTAGGAGGTAGACCACATTAAGAGATCAACTCCACAGGAAGACTATAACTAAATTTAACTGAGAAAGGCTATAGTAACAGAATCTTGAAAATCTGTTTGTGTATTAACTTCCCTCCCTCTTATACCCCCTTTGAGTCAGGAAGGAGTCAAGCTGAGTCTCTTCCTGATACTATTGCCTTTCCCAGGGCTTAAAAATGCTTCTGTCTTAATTATTTCTGTAACAGTTTCTGAATATTCTCTTCAAGGCCATCTTGATGGCTGTCTATTATTTCCTAGTTCAGATACCATTCAAAATGAGGTTAACTTCTGCAAATTGTTGTCATGACTTGGATTTGGACTGTCATGCTATCATTATTTAGCATTAAATAAATAAATAAATAAATAAATAAGGCAGCTCCATTATTTTTAACATCCCTTCATCTGTTATTGTTTCCTCTTTTACTTGGTTTTTATATCTTTTAACATACAGTATTTATTGATTGTTTTTAGCCTTGTTGTATGCCGCCCAGAGCCACTTGCCGGTGAGATGGGTGGCTATATAAATTGTATGTATAAATAAATAAATAAATAAGTAAATAAATAAATACATACATACATACATACTTTTTAGCAAGCCTGATTATGCAATTGGAAATATTAATCATGCAGGCACATTGCCCAATTGGAGATGGAAGTGAGAAAGCAGAAAAGCAATGAAAAGATGCAGCTGCCTAATTCTTCTGGTCTTCTGGTACACAACAACTCCTCTAACTTCTGTTTTCAACTATCACATTTCAATATTTAAGATGATAGAAGAGAAAAATCTTAACTGCATGATGTTTCCATCCAGTTTTTGACATGTGAACTTCAGCATAACACTCAAAGGGGAAATGCAGCCCTTGGACCACAAAAGATAGTGTGTTCCCATCTTACAAAGTCTTCCTAAAGCAGAAGGCAACTTGCCCATTCTGGCGCCCTTCTGTGACTCAGCTTCTATCAGCCTTAGCCAACCAGACAGTTTGCATAGAAAACAACAACACAACATTCATACAAGTTGTGTCAATGGCAAAACACAATTCAAGTATCTAATTGCGAGAGTAGGATAGAAACTTCCTTGCCAGATAGCAACAAGAGAAGCTGACACTTGGCACCTTTTTCTTGTCCTGCATCCTTGAAGAAACACTGGCTTGGCTCATGTATACTTTGTGCAATCCTATATATGTCTACTGAGATGCTAGTCCCAGTGCATAAGTAACTGCTGTCTGCAAGAACTTCTTATTTACAGTATGACGCTGTGACCAAGATGTACTTCTTGTTAAAACACTGCAATCCAATTCTTGAAGTTCTATGGAGTGTGCCATAAATACAGTCACACTCCTTGTTTTTCAAGGATATCAAAAACAGTGTATTTCTGATCAGGTTAAGGACCATAAAAGTGTAAAAAAATAATTTCTTTTTTTAAAAAAAAGTTTGATGCCTTATTTTCTTTATCACTTCTTACATACTATTTTCGTCTTCCTTGAGTGATCCCACCTGGACAGCAGCCAGGTTGCAGGTATGATTAATTGAATTCATAAAGTTATGGAGCAAATTGGGCAACATGGTACAACAGAGGTCTGACAAAATCAATTCTTACTTATACTGTATATAGGAGTGATCCTCGCTAATCAGGGGTCATGAACCTGCTATCATGAAGGTAAATGAAGTCTACTGAGAAGCTCAGTCATATTTCCTAAGTAGGAAAACATTTTTTGTTTGTTTGTTTAAAAGAAATGTCTGGGGGGAAAATTACCAAAACTTATCCTTAATAATGCACTAGAGTGATCAAAGTGCACTTGATGTATTGTACAAACACATCTCCTATTGAAATTAAGCTAACCTGAACTCAGTAGGACTTGCTTCTGAGAAATTATGCACCATATCGCACTCAAGCCCAACTTCACTTAGTTTTATTATATTTTCTTTAATCTTCAAAACATGAGCTGCCTTGGAAGAAATCTGCTTATGTGACTTTCTAAGTTGCCCCGCATACTGAGAATGCTCCTTAAAGGATATGTTAGTTCTAATCTTTTTGAGCACTGGTCAAATTATTCTGGGACTGGATCCAGCCCATGGATATCTAATTGCCCATTCCCAGTCTAGGAGTTACTTGGAATGACCTGCTTTTTCAGCCAAAGACCTTCGACCTGCAGTCCATTTGTGGCCCTCTAAAGAGAGGGTTGGGGCCTGCGCACAACAGCAGTGAAAGCCCTAAGCCACTCTCCCGCCTCTCTGGTTCAGACCTTCAAGTGACAGTGGCTCCTTCCCAAATGTTTGTGGCAAGTTCATCAAGTTGCTTGCCCAATATTCCTGCCCAACATACCCAGAAAGAATGGGGGCTTCGCACCTGCTTCCCCCAAACTGTCCACCCATCATTATCATCAGCTCGACCATGCTGTTGGCTTCTGATCCTTTGCTGCCCCCTAGCCCCTGGGACTCTCTGCTTCCCTCCCTCCCTCCCTCCCTTCTTGCCCCAATCTTTTCTTCTCCTTTCTTGCCTGACATCTGACCAGTTGGACAAAGTACACTAATCAGTAATAGGGAGGGTGAGAAGTGAGCATATTTGTTTGTGTATATGCAGCCACATCTCCTTCATACTGTCACAGGCACCTATAGCTTCTGGCACACTTGGGGGATATACTTTCCCTGGTTCAGAAAAGTTTGTCCAAATTTGAGTAGGACTGATTTGATTAGCAGCCAGCCACATGGTTTACAGCCTTACTTGGAAGAAGCAAGTTCTCTAGAAATAAATGGGACTCGCTTCCTTGTCTACAATGAGTTTTGACTCAATATGGAAAGCTGTATTTATGGCTTGGTTTTGATTTTATGAGGACAGGAAGGCCTGGCGCAATATGGTTCATGGGGTCACGAAGAGTCGGACACGACTTAATGACTGAACAACAACAAAATTTGATTTTATGAAGATTGCTCCCCACTGCTGTCAGTGCAACCTTGGAGGAGCCAAAATGCAATATTCCAATGCCTTTCAAAATATGCTGCAGTAATTATGACATATAACCCTGTTAACAAATGAACAATGCAAGCACGCTAGCATCGGGGGGAAAAAAAATAAAGAGTAAAATGTTGCTGAACTATTAGCATTTACAAGAGACAATGAGACTTCCAGAACAAAATTAGTATCTGTCCAAAAGTGAGCCTCTAGAGCAAAACAGAACAATCTCTTTTGATAAATGGGGCTCGAAAGAAAAGTTTACAATGTGGTGTGTACATTTTTGCTGTTCCAGTCAATCAACCGAATCTCCCTCCTCCTGTTCCACCTCCCACCCTTTTCCAGTTTTCTTCCAAACAAGCCATCAGCATTCCCAGGTCAGTGTACATGTAATCCCTGGATTCCTCCATCAATAGGTCTTCCCCTCCTCCAAAGATGTACAACTTTTGCAACCTTCAGGATCTTATAAAGCAGTGTTTTTCATTCCTTCATGCCACAAAT